AAATGGTCTAGAATATGATATCTAAGATGAGAAGTTGTTGCTTGCTTGATCTTTACACCAAATTTCTTTTTGCTTCTTTCAAAGAGCGTTAAAACCACCAAAATGAGGCAAGAACCACCAATGGGGGTTAGGGTTAGGGATTCTGAGGTTTGAGAGTGATGGAGGATGATAATGAATTAATGGGGTTTAAATACGAAGGAACCCCTAACAGATCATGGGCTTGGGATGCAACTATCCTTAGGACGTGACTATACTCATGTCACGTCATGACATGCCTCCGGATATGTGCTTCCCATTTAACGCGTCACGTCGTGACCACCCTATGCTCACGTCGTGACATTCAGTTTTCTCTAAAAACCATGCTTTGGACTGCTTATTGCCCTGGACTGGTCCATTATGGAAAATAGGTGTTACAATTTTCAGGTGGATTGTTAATGTTTTTGGAGGTGGGTGGGAAAGACAAGTAGGTGTGTATGTATGAGAGAGAGAGAGAGAGTCATAAGGACTATTTGTATGTAAAAAAGAAAGGGTATTTTTTTCATTTCACAAACACTCAACATAATCTGTTAACAAAGTTAGTGATAAGGACTATTTGCATGCAAGGTTTTCTCCAAAAGGACCATCCATGCAAAAAAATTTTCATAAGGAATATTTCATGGAAAAATAGAAAACAAAAGGACCATTTGTGAAATTTTGTCTAATTATTAATAGAAGATAAATATTCATAAATTTCAAAAATATCAAGTATTATGGAAGCTATTTTTTAATAACAAGGATGGTCCCTGTAATTTGAAAAGTTTTAATAGATCTTCCTAATGGCTAACATCGTTAATTTTTTTCCGTTAAGTTTGAACATGTTCGAGGTATGTAAGGGAATATAATCTTTTTCGTTGTTAATAATTAATATTATATCCAACCAAGATGACTAAATATCCTTTATTTTATACTTTGTGTTATAATTAATAAAATATACAGACTAAATATGTAAACTGAAAGAATTGGATAAGAGCGTTAAACCTCTGCCTCCCTAATCCCCATCGTTTACTATCCCACTCCCTTATCTTCGACTCATTCATCATCGTCAACCACCTACCCCATCACCCTATGTTTCTCTACTCTTCTACCCCACCTCTTCTAATCTCGACACGAAGTTATCATATACAAGACTGTCCCCAACTTAAAAATGACCCCTCTTCTCTGAAAGTAATGAGTATTGAACACTTGTATAACGCCAACAACTTTCACTGACTCTAAACCCAAAAAAAATGGAAAGACACGTTGTCTGAACTGTATCGAAGATGAAGTAGCCGAAAAATACTCCTTGAACGGAAGCCTGGTAATAAGACAGAAAGCTCGCCTGTCAAAGCCAACCCGGTAGTCGCCTATCGAGAATAAAAGCTCCTCTATCTTAGACCGAGGATAAGTAGAAACCTCCTTGCACATAAAGTAATGGCATAGATACAGGTGACATTCTACACCCATCGAAATGTTAACATATGCATCAAAACAGGAAGCCCTAAACATGACCGCACATCCGGGCGTGTGTAAATGGGTAATGCTTTCCCTGTTGAGTTCAGGTTTGCAGGTTGTAGTAACAACCTTTTTATATGTTCTGTCGTGCTACAATGAAAGGAATCCAAATTAGTCCAGTGAAAGTGTTGCAGACACCATTCCAACGTATAATGATTGTGTTCTAGACATCATTATGGAATAAGGACACCATTCCGAACTATATTTCGGAACAGTTCTAGACATTCCTGCTATGTTCTACATATTCTTGAGATGTTCATCGCATTTCAGACTAGTTTAGCGTATTCTGGACTTATTCCGGACATATTCCAAGGCAATTTTTTTATTATTTAATTTGTCCTAGTATACACATATACACATATACATATATATATATATATATATATATATATATATATATATATACACTCATACAAAAGCTTAAAAATAACTAAAATTCGAAGGAAAATGAAAGTAATGAATTCATAAAAAATGAAAATTTCTTATTTTTAACATATAATCACAAATAATAACATATAATCATACAAAAAATCGACACATACCCAAAAAATTAAATCTCTTCACTGCTAAAAGAAAACATATTTTGAAATTGATGTAGTCCGATACAAAGGGGTATAAAGTCTGAAATGAGGTCTGAAACAGTAAGTTCGAAACAAGGGGTCGGACATGTTATATATAGGGGGACCATGTTACTGGATCACACTGTTTTACCCATTTACCTATTTTGGAATCCAGGTCCGGAATGTTATATATAAGGGGACCACTTTATTTCCCTTTTTTTTATTTAGGTGGGACAAACTTGAAGTTAATATTGCTAACTTTCATAGGTGAGTATATTTGGATTTTATTCTTAGGATACATGGAATAAATAGGGTTTTAAATGTTTTATGAACTCTTTTTTTGAGTAATATATGCAAATTTTAATATTGTCTGATGAAAGTAAACTATGAATAATAGTTTTGATGTTATCAATTAAGTGATGTATTTTCTACGTTTGATGAAATTTCATGTGAAAACTCCTTATGTTATGCAATTTTTATGATATTATAAAATAAATATGACATGGAACTTACGTTATTGAACTTACATAAAAGAAAAATGGTACTCATGCATAGACTGAATGTGGTGTCATTTGGCTTTGATATCTAGTCTAGACACATGATGTCATAAAAAGGACCTAGAAGACCCTATCAGGATGGTACATCCCTTTGTAAGGTATATGTATTATGTAATAATGTTGTGAAAGGTCCTTGAGGGAGTGTATGGGATTCAATTGTGAAAACCAGTGGACATGATTAGGAATAAAGAATAAGCTTTTGAAGAAATACTAGAATAGGGAATTCGATAAAATTCTAGATAAATAAGTGGTTTTGTGGTAGCACATTAGCATAACAAATTCCAAGAGCATTTTAGTAATTAGAGATATAAAAAGGTACAAGGGTTGCATTAGATAATTTTTAGATGAGAATGGTCGACTTAAGATCCTTTTGGTCAATGAATAGAGTTTGAAATGAAAAAAATTATAGAGGTTTATAAGGAGGTGTAGTTATCCGAATTCCCAAAATATATAGGGGTGGGTTCTAACCAATTATAAATGATACTTCATTTGGTCACTTACACAAGAAATCGAGAACAAAATTCATCCAACAGGAAATATATCATGGAAATGGAATTTATTCTTATCGGGGAAAGGCAATATCCTAAACCTAAAGTTGAGGCATAAAATATTACCAACCAACCTTAATATCAAACGAATTTGGGTTAGAATTGATGGTCAGGCCGAAATTTTGTCTCTCTCCCTCTCTAAATCGATTCCTTAGTGTCTAGGGTTTGGGTGTGAGCCATTAAAGGTAACCATAATTTTGGTGATAGCTTTCTGAACACCAATTGAGGATCAAAGGGTGGTACATAAAATAGTAACACTAAAGGTATGTAATTCTACTTGAGAATTTTGATCTCACCTAGGGTTTGTAGTAGTTTCAATAGTATGTTGTTATATTATGTAAAGACATAGATCCATAGGTTGCATGTGCCCATATTAGATTATGTGTTAATTTCATTATGCAAATATGTTTAATATAACCTATAAAACCCATCATAGACGTCATTTCCCTTTATTCCATAATACAATCAATCTCTACACTCGCAACCATCAGAGTTTAGCATACCCACTTCTATCGACTCTCCTCGTCAAATCTAACAACTTTCCCCGCCACTCCATCGGTTTCCTCTGCCAATTTTGCCACTGAAACGTCTTCTTCCTCAACCGATAATGTTTTTTTTTTCTATTTCTGAAAAAAACTCCTTTAAATAAGTTATGAAATTGAAATCGATTCTCATAAATTATAAACTCGTTTATGAACTCGAAATCACAGTCGTTAGAGTTTGTGAACCATAAACTTTGAACATGAATTTTTTCCTCTAAAATTAGGAACTTGAATATGATTATATGAAATATGAACTTGTATAAAATCGATTGTCTGAAATGCTGAAGAAATGATAACATGTGTGATGAAAAATGAACCTATATGTTGAAATCATGAAGTGTATGCTAAAATGGTGCTTAAATTATGAAGTAAATGTTGAAATTAAAACTTTGTATGCTACAAAATGATCTTGTATACTAAAACTATGAAGTGTATACTGAAATGTCAAAGTGTATGATGAAATATGTACTTGTATGCTTTATGAACTTCGTATGATGCGATCTAATTTCTTGAACTTGTATGCTGAGCTATTTTCTATCTTTATCATTCAGTTGATCATATATATGTCACATAAGAGAGGCCTAGACTAAGTTGGAAGCAATAATGTATGGAAAAATGTTTCTTGAAGTATGTATACATGAAATTACAACTAACGGTTGGGAAGGTTGTAGCTTGAGAGCTAGCTCGTGGAAGAATGTATTAGATAAACAAAAAACGGACACAATTTCGTAGTCAATAAAAAAAATGAAGAATCAATACGACTATCTAAATCAAAATATGCTTCTTGGTTCACAATTAAAAGAATAACGGGTAATGTTTATAATGAAATAACAAGCAACTTTAATATGAAAGAAGAAGAATGGCAAGAGGAGACAAATATATTATGTTTTTTAACACAAAATTATTATATTTCTTTAATGATTATTTAAGCCGTTAAATGATGATTTCAACACTACATAAAAACAATTCATATATTTTTCACGTGGTTCGAAATGCAATGATGTGTTTTTCAAGAGAAATGATAGTGCCAATATATTCTAATGTAACCGCAAATACTTCCGAACAACATAGAAGGGTAAATGGCATATTTCCCGGAGCAATCACTGCGTTAGATGGAACTCTTGTACATATAGTCTTGCCATTATATATTGTATGTTGATCATATTGGCATTAAATTCAACATTGATTATACTTGTAATTCATGATAATTAAATTAAACATAAATAAGTTCACTCACAATACTATTCTATCAAGAGTTCTAAATTATTTATGCTTACCAAGAATGTAAGCTAGAAGTAACTCATTCCAAACATCTGGGACACCAGGAAGGCACCAATGTGTGCAATCTGCATAACTTGAGGGGTTGGCTAGTTGTGTTGTTGTTAAAGGATAATTATACAACCTGTGAATAGAAGGGTGTGCATCTTTTCTATATTGTGTTAGATGTGTTATATTCACCACTTGTACGTTCACCCCCTTTTCTTTCAATTTATTTAGCGATAATTGTAATATTCTCATCAACTTTAAATCTGACTCACTTTCCCAAAACCTATCTTTTGTTATTGGATCTGTTTCATTCAAGCAATTCTGATCATCTTTCATGCCCCATTCTGTGCCACTGAAAATAAGGTCTTAATGAAAACCATAAAATTTTCAGTTGGATAATTAATTTAAGTTTAAATATATCACCTATGATGTGTTGCAGTCATGCTCATAAAATATAATTGAGTCCTTGTGTGATTGACATGATCATGTAACCATTTAGACAACACTTTGATAACCATATTGTAACCATGATGGTTGCTTACTACATCATATTGTGTAGAATTTCCAAGTGATCCATTCCTTAAAAGAAAAACAATCATTTTAGAAATTCATTAGCCAAAATTAGCAAACCTAATGTCAACCTTAGAAGTATAAACTTACAAGATTTTGAATGTAGGCATCCTCCACCACAGATATGAGTTAAAAACTAGTACTTCTGCATTAACCCAATATTTAGCATGTTTTTCGATGGATTCAATGTGAACCATACGATCATTTGTTTTATGTTTTAATGGATGGTCAGCATTAGATTCCACCAACAATGGAGCCCAATAAAAGTCGATAGAAACATTATATTCCTGTATACAAATGTATTAACACAAATACGCTTATAAACAAAATAAAAGAAATGACATACATGATTATATCAAATTTAACCATTTACACAAAATGTATGTTTACTGTATTTTATGCAAATAAAGGGTATTCTTAGGAATACTTTTATTCTTAGTTTTATCAACTCCTCGTATTGTATAAATGTTGAACACTTAATGCTTTAAAAAAATAATTAGTATTCTAGGAATATTTTATTACAATAAATATATATTATTTTCTATCCATATTATATTTTTATTTATTAAAATATGTGTTTATCATTAAAATAGTAGGAAATATTCGTTAAAGTCAATATAATTAGACCATATATTCAGTTAACTCATAATATATTTTTTTAAAATAAATCCTAAAATACTCTTAATTATAATCAATTTTTGGATAAATACTCAGTTTTCCGATAAACACTTGGTAGTCATCTTATGTGGTATTGGAGATCTTCAATAAAGTTCCTTCATTTTGATCTTATTTACAATTAAGCCCTGGTTTTTATTTAATAATAAAGCGCAAACAACTTGCAATTGTATTCGAATTTGAGAAAAATACCTTGTGACCTTGTTTCTTTCCTATGACATTACTGAGGTGGATAAGTTACATGCTCACTTCATATTTGGGGTCGTAAATAAGAAATCATATCAACTTGTACACCCAAATCATTCTTTTGAAATCAATGACTTTGTCTTCTTCAACCACCCCAAGTATACTAAAACACAATTAGGTTATAAGGTATTGTCCCTTGACCATACAAGTATAACAATCCCCTTAGCTTAATCACCATTATTTGTCATGGTTGGAATCACACTCTCCTTGTATAATGGTGCATTCCACACCACCTATATAGAATTAGATCATAAATTAGGTCCATTTTAACAATCTTACCATTTTCATAATTGCTATGGTGACACTAAAATCACCAACGATCTTTCTTTATTATAATGTCACATTTGAGTTTACACAACCATGAAAACATTATTTAAGTATTTTACACATTCCAAATATTCAAGAAATCCTAATGTCCTAAGAACAGAAGCCAGCAACCCATTGAAATACTTGAAGATAAAATACACAAATTTTTTTGCATTTCATTTAGTAAATATTAAAGTGATTTTCCGTATCCATTCATAATCACATTGAATCCAAGTCCTAATTAACTTTTTAAAGTATGGATATTCATTTCGTTCACGTAGGTAAGTCCTTTACATCATGTATATGTAATGTATTTTATTAAAGGAATCGTAATGAAGATTTTCCACATTTTTAGCATACATGTGACTTAATGGTAATTTACTTTCCATCTAAACACTCCAAAATATAGTGGGTCTCAGGTTCAAATCTCACAATATTCAATCATATGGTGACATGATGTTAAAAAACATAAATAATTTATTTACATCATGGGCATATTATTCATCATAGTTATGATAAAACTCACCTTATATAGATGTGGACTCTAAACCTTGTGACTTGTATTAGATCACAATCCAAGTTATCTTTGACACTTATAAATTCCGATTACACTAAATGGTGATGTGAATCTAAAATCACCAACACTATTTGACAAAATGTTTCTAATCAAACATAGTATTTTGTTTTTGGAACTCTAGGTTGGGTACGCTCCCTAATATTGTCAAAGAAGGATGTGAAATCGATGCTAAGTGATGCCTTTTTGGAACGATGTTGAAGAGACTGAATCTCATGTGTTTACTTATTGTTGTTTTTCCTTGTAGGTTTGACGTTGGATCTTCATATGGTGTGGCTTCCTCATGGAAAGATTTAGTGATCATATTGAGATCCTTATGTAATCAATACTCTTATTTATAGAGGTGGTGATAATGTTCACTCTAGTTTACTTGGAAAACATAGAACTTGAAGCTCTATTTGATACTTTGAGATCAACTCCAAAACTTATTGATGCCATTTAGGTTCACTTACTTATGTGGATTAGATATAGAGTAAAGTTGTTTAGCTCAAATTTTCTAATTGGTGTTGTATTCATATCATGAACTACTCATAATTGATGTAGTATTTTTTTTTGTTTTTTGTCGTTCATCTTAAAAAATATACATATGTAATATGATAGACATCGATTCGAGGTGATCAACCTCCAAGACATTTAGAAGAAAAAGAAGAAAAGAGACCCATTAAAACAATTTTTCTGCTTAACATTGTAAAGATACCCTAGATGAATTTAAAGATGCAAGCTAAAATTACTATTAAACTACAAACAATAATCACTAGACATGATCACTAAATATGGTCCACTAATTTCTAAGAATAAGAAAACATGGTCTATCTCTAAATGCATGCATCATGGATAAAAAAGGAAAAATGAGAATTCGTGTACTAGTTAAACCCATTCGTATCGTAATACCATTTTTTATGTGCTTGTAAAAGCATATACATCGAATACACAAAAATCTAGTATGATTCTGCAAGATTTGTGCCTAAAACTCAATTTTCAATCTTTTAGGTTATATTGTGATACTAAAACGTAGGGTTGAAATACAACTTAAGAATTTAAGATTCATGATCCTAAAGATATCTAATCATGATTATCACATTCACCCTCCAATCGCCCTAATTCTAACATAGAATTATGTTTGACATTGGTTCTACACTAAATCTATTTTTTTCGTAAAATAAAAAATAAAAATTACATCATTATTAAAAGACATAATTATATAAATGATCCTTGTGTTGTGTCAAACTTGTGGTATTCTCAAAACTTTTTCCCCTCTTATGGTCTATGTATGTGATCTTATTTTAGGATGCTATCATTCATACCACCTCTAGAGTTTTATTGTTGTAATAGACTTTATATCTATACATCCCTACATAATCTTATCTCATGTCACATTATCACTCACAATACATAAATAAAATATTATATTTATATAGGTAAGGACATAGAAGTTGACTACATGGGGGTATAGAAATTGAATATAAAATATTATACTTATATGTATAAGGGTATAGAAATTGACTATATGGTCTCATATTAGCATAATAAAACTATTTTTCCTTTAGTTGAATAATAAATAATGTACACACATACACACACACACTCACTCTCTCTCTCTCTCTCTCTCTCTCTCTCTCTCTCTCTTTCTCTCTATCTCTCTATCCCCTATTTTTCTCTCTCTCACACACAAACAATCTTCAACAATATCACCATGTATACCCCCTTTCTCTCTCTTTATCACACACACACACATACACTCATATCACTCTATAAACTACCTACTAACAACAAAATGCCATTGATGACCACCTTCTTCTTCCCTTTCTCATATTATTGCTACGACTGACCCGAAAACACCAACGTAACCTCGAAAGACACTATAGGAGAACAACAAAATGAAAAAGTCTTTTGTCAATCCTTGTCGTAAATGTGGAAGTTCATACGTAAGAATTTTGTTTTGACTTGGAACCCTAAAGAAGTATTTACCTCAGATAATTTATTGGTTATCATTCTAACTATTTTTTTATTTTAGATTTTCACAAGGTGATGATGACGACCCAGGTGGATATGATGAGATTCTTACCTCTATAGTTCGACATAGTGGTGACCTTGAGAGGTATAGGGATTTAAAGCCTAAGCAGAGATCTTTCTTTAAATTCTTGGTCTTTTAGGTTAGTGTCCAATCAATCAGTCTTTACGATCGGATCTGAGAGATGAGCTAGCTTTATTTCGGGTATGAGTGGAGCATACTCAGTATGAATTAAGGGTGTGATTACTTTGATAGAAAGAATAGCACTCTTGATAAATCGATATCCTCAGGGAAGAAATCCATAATCATCTAGTAGGTAAAATTTCCAGTTCTATATAGATTGTAGTTAGGATAGAGATGGTCAGTGTAAAAAAATTACATACGACGATGGTTATTGTTTGTTCACTGTAAAATGTATATATATATATATATATATATATATATATATATATATATATATATATATATATATGGGAAAAATGAATATATAACTTATAGGGTATATAAATATAGGTACCTAATCCTTAAAACTATGTAGTTTCGAATATGTTTAATTTTCTGAAAAAAAAAACAATTTCCTTCAAAAATTTACTATGTTTCCTTACACGACTTATAACATCAAACTTCGTTGAGTTCTTGCACCATTATGCCCGGGGGGGGGGGGGTGATGATCGGGTTTACCATCTATGTCAACCCTTTTTACTAGACGTAGAATGACTATTTTTTTTCTTTGAAATATATTCTTTTCTAATTACCTATATTACTACTCTAACCACTTCAAAATTCCACACCAACCTTCTAGACTATCTCCGATTGCATTCCAACTATCTCTTTGTTCTAATTCAGTTGCTTGCAACAATTCTGTTAATGAAACTAATCCTTTGCTCTACTTATATAACTACCTACATTATGGCACCAGCTGCTCATGCTACACTATCAATTCTTCAAGATACTGAAGTTCAACCATGCCTAGAAATCCGAGAACTTATCACAATAAAAATCAGGAAGCTACCGAACAGAAGCTGAAACAATATTACTTTGCTGCTAATGCAAAGTTTGGTGACTAGCAATTTCAAATAAAGAGACTTTATGGGTTTAGTAGACCGTATGGCTTTGGTTTATGTGTTTTCATTTGCAGGTTCTGTTAACATGTGGACTAATGTAGGCACAGATGGTCGAAGATGATAACTTGTAGTAGAGACCAGAATAGATGAAAAACGAACACTATGCATAACTTTTTCACATAACACAGGGACCACATAGATATAAATTATCCTTATTAAAATTAAAAATAATTTACTTAACAGTGTTAATCATACTATATCGGAAAATATTTCAATAATCAACCTATCCAACAATAACAATGAAGTATGGATATACTCACA